TCATCTCGGGCTGTGTACTGATGAAAAGCTATTTGGGCCAACGCTGTAATGTAAACTGATGAGCAGGCTGCTCCAGCCCAATGAACCAATTAGGAGAGCAAAGCTGAGAGCTAGAGGGGGGGGGGGGGGGGGGGGGGGATCCTGTGGCCCCACAGGACTCACTCATGAAGGATCGGGGAGGGGGTGTGTGACAACATGGCCGTCTGACGTAAAACATCTTTCTTTAATGATGGCGTGTAAAAACTGAATTTTAGTCACATTTAGCATTTTTTTATTTTTTTTTCTATTTAAAGGCACGCTTGGCACTTTTGCTTGCCTTTACCACCCTCTAGTGTCAGTCATTAATTGTCTGGGGTCAAACCAAAAATGTAATAACGTATCTCCTCACTGTGCGTTCACCTTAATCTAACAGCTGAAATGTCTGTCCAGCCTTCCTTAGTGTCTACAGGAGTTATTCATCACTAAATTAAACAAATCAGCTGTGTTTGTGATCTAAAACATGCAGGAAACGTGTTGGAAGCAGACTGCAGCGCCAGGTAGGCTACGTCAGCTCCACTTTTTTCTAAGCCCAAGGTCTGAAGTTGCAAGGGCGATATTCTGTCCATTGTGATGGGGGGTCTGAGGGACGTTTCATTAACCCTCTAAAAGTCGTTTAGCACAAACTGGCTGAAGAAAATGATTTAAAAATATGAAAAAGTTGCATAGTTTGCTTTACTGTTTAATAAAATATCACGTGAGATGACGGGAAAGTTTAATCTCCGTACTAAAACGTGCCTTCCTCCTAAAACCATTTAATGTCTTGTCACAAACCAAACCATTTCTGGCTTTAAAGGTTGAATATGGAACACAGACACTCTGGTGACATCTAGTGTTTAGAGGTGGTAGCTGCAGCTACAGAAAACATTTTCCAGCTGTTGGGGTGTTGGTTCACTGCTGACATGTTAAGCGACCAGCCAGCACCATGTCCAGTGACAAATCGTACAGGATAAGGATGAATTCCTACTAATAGGTTTATTGTACAGCAGTATTTACTGTTAGAACATCTTCTGGGCTCAGAATCAGCTGCTTGACATGTCAAGTCCGCCATTTTACACAGTCCCAGCCTCGCCTTTCCGATTAGACTTTTTAGTACAAAGGTGCCCTCTAGTGGCTGGTAGACATAAACGTTAACCCAGTGTCGTGACCGACAACATTTAAATGTGACTTATTTTTTAAAATATATTTTTAACCCTTTGATGCATAATGGTAACTACAGTGGACAGGTACTCAAAATTGTTATTTATTTATTTTTGCTATTAAGCACAGCTGTTGAAGACTTTATTGCATTTGAGCCCCTCCATTTGGACTTCAGTAAGTCAAGCCAAAATATTTCATGTTCAGAATGCACGCTGTCCACTGAGGTGGACGTGTAATAAACTATGTGTAAATTAAATATTACAAAAAATATGTAAATATGAAATTTGTTTCATTCACACCTAAAGATGAATGGAAAAAAAATTGTTTAAAAAATCATGGTTGAAGATTTCATAATTCATGCATCAAAGGGTTAAAGGAAAATCTGTACATTTATTTTTGCACACTTCTAAATGGAGGTATTGTTTTTTTAAATATAGCTTTTAATTCAAATGTTTTATATTCCACCTTTAACCCATCCAGAAGAAGTATTAGGATTAGTACTTTCATTTAAATCAGGCCAAATTCATGTCTACTGCCCTCTGGTGGAGGATGTTTAGATCACAAGAACCACTTTATTTATTCATCACTGTTCTATTGTGATATAATAGAATATTTTATACTTGGGTTATTACTATTATACTTCAAATAGTTTTTTATTATTATTCATTTAACATCGTTTCTGTTTTTAGAATGCCATTATTTGTTCTTCACCTTTAATTGTTGTCCAGTAATTATTTTTTCATTTATTTTTGAAACAATCACTTCATCACCCTTTGGGAAAACATTTCGGTCCCTTTCTTGTTTCCCTTTTGGTAACTTTATGTGGTTTAGATGGAGCTTTACTGCCCCCTGCTGGCCATCAAGTGTTTTCTAGGTACAGTTAAGGATGCTGTGACATTTCAAACAGCAGCTGCTGAAGTTAAATCTATATATTCTGACTAATAAATGTGATTCTGGCAAGAAATACATGCAATTGTGAAGATCTGCCCTTTCAGGTTTGAAAAGTCGGATGTAGGAGCACACGATGCTTCTAAACAAATCCACAAGTCTTCTGAAACTTTAAAAATCTGAGAAAAGGGTTTAAATTACATGAATCAAAGTCAACAGTCTTAAGCTGAATTTTGAGGGGTTTTTTTTTCTTTTTAAACTGATTACATGTGGGACATCAGCCCCCGGATGTAAAAAAGTGATTTTAGAGCAGCAGACTGTCTGGATTAACCATAATCATAAAACTTTAAGTCAAGCCTAATCTGTGTATAAACAACAACAGTTTGTTACCTTTCATCGTGTCTGAGATCCCAGGAGAAGAATAATAATAAAAATAAAAACACTTCATTTTTTTCAGGCATTTTTAATTGGCACAGTAAACACAATACAAAGTATTCAGTGCTCCAAAACACAAGCATGGGCTACCAAATAGAACACCAACAAAAAAAAGTGCAAAACACACTGTTTGGTAAACTTTACAAAGGAAAATAAGTCTTACTTTATGCAAAGCCGGTAAAGTCACAGTAAGACCCTCCATAGTTAAAATAGATGTTTTGCTCTTTAAACTTTATTTATAACGTCATATATATTCTCTCTGGCTCCATCGTGTGGCTTCCTCTGTACAGGCGGGTGCTTCCGGGCCTAAAGGATCTGTGGTTTCGTAACGGAGCCATGCGTCTACCGCTCCACCTTTTCAGGCTTTCAAAGTGACGGGAGAGAGAACGCTTGTGGAGTTGTTCCCAACTTGATTTAGCTGGAATTTCATCATTCCCTCCAAGTCCAGTGTCCCAAACACAAAACAGTGTCATTGTTACTTCTCGTTGCAGTTCTGGACAGAATAATAAAGGAAAACATTCCAGCAAACAAGTGGAAGAAAATGGTTAAAAACTGAACATGGTCTGATTTAAAATCGTTGCTATGTGCCGTTGAGCCGGAGCGGTGACGGTGGTTTAGTCTGACAACAAACAGAATCACATTTTAATCCTCGCACCGTGCAGCATAAGAACACAAGTCAGGACAAGGCCCAGACAGGGGAAGTATGCATCACAGTACATTTTCATATACAGTAGATGTGTGTGTGTGTGTGTGTGGGGGGGGGGGGGGGCTGCAAGTGGAGGTAACTAACCACAAGTTAGAAACTGCAGTCAAAACATTAAAAATAAATTTTTTTACAAAGATAAATGCACAAGACAGTCCGATCAGTCAGATAGCATCATGTTGTGATTAAGCTGAAAACATTGTTGGGGGTGGGGGTGGGGGTGGGGGGGTCACACTGGCTGTTAACATCAGGGACAACATCTGTATAAATACATAGAAAAATAAAAGAACCACAGGCACCGAACCCAAACAGCATTCAGGTTAATTTAAACGAGAACCACCAGGCAATGAGGGTTAACTCAACAGAAAGGCTGGGGGGGGGGGGGGGGGGGGGGGGGGGGGGGACGTAAGCTAGCTTAACGCCAACACCGCCTTTCCCAAGCCGCCTCCAGCAGAGGAGGGCGAGGAGGAAGACAGGGCAAGCATGCAGCACGCCACGACGCCCCGAGCTTTTGCAAAAAAAAAAAAAAAAAAAAAAAACATAAAAATAAATAAAAACAAAAAATAAAAGGGCCAAGAAGCAGCTGTTAGCCTGGGCCGTTCAGGGGGGAGGGGACGGGGGAGGGGCGTGGTCAGAGAGAGGAGGAACAGACACGGATTTGTTTAGCTGTTATGAGGCGATGGTTGGAATGGATGATCCATCCGTCTGTGGCTTCTTCCTCCAGCTGATCCTGGATGTGTGATCGGGATGAAAGGGAATAAAAAACATGACAAGGTGAGAAAGTGAATGTCGTCGTCTGACTCCCGGGATGAAGGGATGAAACCTGCAAATGTAGAGCGGACTTTTATTTCAGAGGGGCGGGTGGAGGTGATGAGTCTGGGATGGGTGGCTCGTCTTCATCCGGCGGTGCTGCTGGTCGCCTTCCTGTTTCTGACCACACCCTCTTCTCCGTGTGTGTGTGTGTGTGTGTGTTTGAGAGGACAATCACAGCTTTTAGGGGTTTGCAGGTTCATTAGGAGCCAACAAGCGCTGCTCATAACCGCGTGTGATGCAAGCGCAGTTGGGTACATTAAGCAGCGAAGCAGGGTGTGTGTATGAGTCATCCGAGTGTGTGTTACAAAGGAAGCAAGGTGGGATTTGCTAGTGGACTTCTCTTGGGAATAGTTTTAAATTGCTGTGCAGGGTAAGCACGACACTGCAGATGAAAGAGTTTTTATCGAAACGCTTCGGGTATTTGAGCGGCGTTTTAGATTCAGGTCGTTGTTCACGTTTTCACATGGTGGTTTCCCCCAAGAGGCTGCTGCTCTTGCCCTGCCACTCCTCAGCCAGCCTCACACTTTTAGGAATCTGGAATTTAAAAATAAACAAAGAAAAAAAAAAGGCAAAAGGGGCAGTTAGTTTGAGGAAAACAAACAAAGTAGGCTGATACGGAGGTCGTTGGATACGTGAGCATGAACTGTATGTGTGTGTGTGTGTGTGTGTGTGTGTGTGTGTGTGTGTGTGTGTGTGTGTGTGTGTGTGTGTGTGTGTGTGACAGCCCCTGCCCTTTGTTACGACATGCTAGATCCGCGTTCTGACAGAACACCAGTGAAACTGCACCATGGACCACTCCTAACCCCCTCAGTGAGATGAAACAACAACCAGATATGTGTTTACAGCCCGATGTAAAATCTCCCATCATGCTTTGCCTGAAGCCACTGATGCTGATGTTAACGCTCACACAGGTACTGCTCCATGCTCACACCTCAGTCAGCTCACCGTCCAGCCTTTACTCCTCTAACAGGCCTGGAGGAAAGACCCACAACACGCCCACGCTATCATCATCATCATCAAGTATAAAGGGTGCAAATTAACACATTTTAATGGAGCTTACTATTCCTATAAAATCTGGATTTTCTCTATTACTGACAGCATGCGACTCTCCACGTGGGCGTTTTTATTGTCTTAGCATACAAAAATATGTCCTATGATCACAGCAGACCTACGTGGGCTTTGTGCACATTGCGCATGCGTTTCTTCTCTTTAGGGTTAACACTGCGTTCAAGTATGTGTTAAAAATCTTTACTAATCTAAATACCAAAGAAAGTTAAGATCCACGGTTTGAAATGCACAGGTGATCAATACTTTGTTTGACCACTAGGTCACTGCAGCTAGAAGTTCCTTCTCTTCAGCTTCCGATATCTCAGACACAATGAAAGGCTTCCCTCAGAGCCGCAGGATGGCTGCTGCTCCAACCGTCACGAGGCACAGAGGACAAATCTGATTGGTCCTTTCCTCCACAGAGACAGGAAGTGTAACACAGACTACGTTTACATGCAGCCAATATCCGGGTTATGATGGGGTTAAGGTCGGTATTCGGGTTTCTGAGTTGATCAGAATAACCCGTTTACAAGCATAAATAGAAAGAGTTACCCCTAACTTGCATAACCCGATTTAAATGCGGACGTTGGGGTAGCGTCAGGACGTATGGACTACGTCCAGACGCAATATGCGTCATTTCCGGTTCTTCTTGTTCCGGTATCCGTGAAAACAACAACATGTTTCCCAGTTCGGAAGAGATAGCGACCGCGTTTGTTTGCGCTTTAGTTTCCTCGTCACTCCAAAAGTGTGGTGCTCCCAATTCGTTGTTTACTTCCGGTGTTCTGGTGCATACAAGACGTCTCGCTACTCAAAAGACCAAGATTCCTTGTGAACAGAGCATGCACAGAACACACGGTTTGATGGGGATATCCCGGTATGCGTTTACACGACCAAACATTCGGGTTAGAAAAGAGTTACCCCAGGTGTAGTAACCGGGTTTTTGGCAGTGTTTACATGGACCTGCGGAACCGGGTTATTGTGAATATTTGGGTTTTAAAAGGGTTACTGGCTGCATGTAAACGCACTCAATCTCTTATCTCTTTCCTGCTCATTTAGCACGTGAATGGAGACGTGGTGGCTAACAGAGACAACAATGAGAACCCAAAACCCTGTCGTAGCATGGGCTAGCTGAGTTAAATGTATGTCATAGCACCTTTGGCGTTTGTCTCCAAAATGACCTCAATGTAGGATGTGGGGACATATCCCTCATCATCCTCACTCCTCCGAACTCTTGTCCAGCCGTCACCTTTGTCTTCTTCAATGACGAAAAGCAGCTCGCCCTCGGCTACAGCAATGGTGCCTTCGTTGTGACCTGGGGGGGAGGGTTTCAGAAAATAATCAGTCATGTTAATACTTTGGATTTGAGTTTCACTTTGTCATCGGCCCAATCCCAATTCTCGCACTTTCACCCTTGCACCCTCCACTTGGGTGCGAGTGTGTAGGGTGTCCCGATCCTTAAATGTGGAAGTTGACCACGCCCCTTTTGCTCCGCACTTTGCTCAAGTCTGCATCGACGCGGATTTAGGCGACATGTATTACCCACAATCCATTGCAGAGTGGGACTTTTGAGAAGAAGGCGGAACGATGGCTCAAGTGCCTTTTCTGAAATGTATTTTCCAACCAAAGACAATTAATCATATTTATTCATGCTCTGAATGTTTTAGTCTAACCCCGGCTTTCCACCGGAGCCGTCAGCAGCACGTTACTGCAGCAGCACGTCTTGCTCGCGTAAGCTGCTGCTTGGCCCTTCCCACGAGACGCGAAGCAGCAGGGGAGCAGCTGTCACCGACCGAGCACGAAGTCACACGAGTGACTTCGTCAGTAAACACGACAACAAGCAGGAGAAAACTACAACATGGCTCCAAAAGCTTTGTGTTTTATGTTCTGTCCGTTTTATAATCGCCAATACGGACCTGAAAAACAAAGGAGACCGCTAGCTAGGTGATAACTTCTCACGGGGCCGCACATTTAGTAACTGTTTTTTTTTTAAAGTAAAGCAACCGGACGGCAGTACGTTTCTTTATTCTGAAAATCTCGGGAGCTTCGCTCCGTTTCCGCGTCCGATTTCCTGTCATTCCTTCCCCAAAAATGTCTAACTTGACCGGTTTCAGAGGCGTAGAAAATAGAGCCGGCGCGTAAGGGCCGCGACGTGCTGCTCCTGAGACGCGGCCGACTCGCGCTGCTGACGGCTCCGGTGGAAAGAAGGGGTAAGATTTAGTATGAACAGCAGTGAACGTCAATTTTGACAACAAATTGTTAGAAAGTTGTTAATAAAGATTTTTTCAAACAGCGACCGGCATGCGTTGCGGTTGATGACGCAATGCTCATTGTCCCTATTACACAATTATTTGCACACTTGTGTAATACTTACTCGAAGCCTTACTGCACACTTCCTCCCAGCGCACTTCGCTAAAAGATCGTAGGGCGCAGTGCAAGTATTTGGACATCCTTGTTTAGGATTCTTATGAGTTTTGCCAGTGCAGCAGCACCACCTTCTGGATTAGGAGGTGGATCCGACTGGCTCGGCTCTATAAATCCTTGTTGAATACCCCGCCGCATATATACTCCCTGGTTTCTTTTGTTCACTGTCAGATTCAGCTGTTGTCTTCCCTTTGTGCTTAGTCATGGTTTCATGGCTTTGGTTTTGCTGCCTTCATTTAATTTTTAAACTCAATTTGCTCGTTTACCCATTTTGTTTCTACAGCGAGTAAACCGAACTGGTGAATGAAGTTTGTTCCTTTCCGGTACAGCAGGTGGCGACAGTTAGCTTATAGAAACTCAAATAGTGAACAAACGTTGGCGGGAGTGAAGCGGACAGACTAAAAACAGGACATGCACCATGGCCGAAGGAATGGACAACAAGACTGCAGCACAACTTATTTGGTACGTACTGTACTGTCTGACGGTGTTACACGTGGTGCTTTGTGGCGATATTTTCAGAAGACCGCTTCTGCAGTCTCGTCACTTCCAAAAGTTAAGAGGCATCCGCTCAATTGATCCGTTTACTGGCAGATGCAGTCGGGCTCCTACTGCATTATCTGGGTGCTTCAGCACGATTACAACCAGTTTGCCTCCAGTCAGACATGTATTTAAAAAAACAACATGAGTGTATTTAGCCTGTTTAACCCCCCCTCCCCACCCCCCCAATTGGTGGCCTCGCCAGTTCCATGTCCCAAATATCTACAACTGTCCACATTCTCCAAACACAACTAAAACCACAATCAAACAGCCCAGATGGGAAACAAGGCCATTTTAAATTGTAATAAATTAAGATACAATGATATTTGAACTGGCTGCACAGTGGTTAGAGCTGTTGCCTTGCAGCAAGAAGGTCCTGGGTTCGCTTCCCGGCCTGGGATCTTTCTGCATGGATTGCATGTTCTCCCTGTGCATGCGTGGGTTCTCTCCGGGTACTCCGGCTTCCTCCCACAGTCCAAAAACATGACTGTTAGGTTGATTGGTCTGTCCAAATTGTCCTTAGGTGTGTGTGTGTGTGTGTGTGTGTGTGTGTGATTGTTTGTCCCGTGTGTCTCTGTGTTGCCCTGCGATGGACTGGCTCTCTGTCCAGGGTGTACCCCGCCTGATTGCCCGTTGACCGCTGGAGATAGGCACCAGCCCCCCCCCCCCCCCCCCCCCCCCCCCCCCCCATAAAACAACTGACTAAATTTCCTAAATAGAATTTGAACTCACAGCCTCCGTCCTGTCAGCACGTTCACGCAGGGCAGCTCTTCTAAAATAAAGTTCAAGCATTATTTTATCTTAATGTATCAAAAAACAAACATTGCTTTGTTTACAATCTAAACTGTTTTGGTTGCAGCTGTAGCTGAGCTCGGGGAATGCAAACAATCACTGACACTTGGGACATGAAAATCCAAAGGCCTCCAATTGGGAGGCGCCAGGGCCCAAAGAAACAAGGCCTAGGGCCTAAAGGGTTAGGAACAGTGTAGTTTTCTGATGTGTGTGTAAACACCCCGAGTGTCTCCGAATCAACTTACAGATATAACTCTCTCCTCATGTTAGGATTGCCCAACATTCAGAACATCTTAAGACTGAATCAGTTTGTTCCTTCCATCATCATTTATAACAATTACAGTGCTGTACAGCGCGAGTCTGTGTGCGAAGCTAAGACACACGCTTCAGATCCGTCAGAGCTCTTTACTACATGTGATCTTCGCAGAGCGCCAAGATAAACAGCTAAAGAAAAAAGGCCAAATTTGGTTTCAGAAACACTGCCTGCACTTCTATTGATGCTCCTCCTTCACACTTTTCCACAGAAACGCCCCTCCCTCCTCCCATCATCATCATCATCACTTCCAGGAATCCCATTTCTCCACTCAACACCCACAGAAGTTAAAGCTCCCCCAGCGTGTTACCTTCAAAGGGGTACAAGGCTTTGCAGGTGCCGATGGTGGGCAGGGTCTCCTCATCGTCAAACTCGTCGTCGATATCTGGCGTGGAGGTGGTGGGAGGGTTGATGGTGGCCTTGACCTGAGTTTCTGAAGTCTGCTCCTCTGTGTAACTGCCATCTGGGCTGCTCAGGGGCCAACACACACACACACACACACACACACACACACACACACACACGCACGCACGCACACACACAAACACGCACGCGAAAATACTAACTCAGAAGAAGTTCCTTGTCCTGGGACGGGAGAAGTCAGACTATACCATTACCTCTCTCTGTTCTGTGCACAGTTGTTGCTCACGGCCGTGTTGTTCTGGGTTTCATACAGTCCGCTTCTCCGGTGCGTGTCGCTCTTAGATGGCATCCTCTCCTCCACTTCTGCTAACCAGCCCTGAAATACACACACAGCTCTTTGAAATCTGGACATAAAAGAACCTGAAACTGGTCCAAAAACTCATTTTGTTCTCCTGGTGAAAGCTCTGAAACCTGGAAAAGCGCTTTGGGGTAGAACCTGAACCCTTATCAGTCTTCACAGAGTCCAGCTGCTCCACATCTTGGCCAAATATGGACAAGCAACAGGCCTCCTTGAACTTAGCTCCTCATTATTTACTGTTTCAGACAAACTAAACAAACTCACCTCAAACTTCTGCACTTCAGACTGGAGCTTCTCAATGGTTTGGCCTATTTCTGTCAACCGGGGGTCCACGCTGGTCGGGTCTCCCATCTGAGGGTTCTTTATGTACACGTCCTTCATCTTCGTCAGCGCGTCTCTGAACACGTTAGGCCTGTTTTTAGGGTTTCGCTGCAGCAGAATTTCACTGTTTTCATAACTTTTTCACAGATACCTCTGATCCATCTCTTTCTGAATGTCTTTATTCAGCTCATCGATCTTTCCCTGCAGCTTCTTCCTCCTCTGCTCTGGTGGCAGATGACTGAAATCCTCCGGGCCAGATCCCTAATGCCACAGGAAGAAGGAAAAGAGGCAGAAAAAAGAAGAGATATATATAAAACTTGACATAAAGCTTTGCTTGTGTGCTACTTTGTGCTGCTGCTTCCACACGACAATGTTTCCAGTTAGATCTCCGGGTCCCTGTGAGCTACGCGGACCGCTAATCGCATGAGCTTTGGTTGACATTCCAGGAGATACTGCAGATGCTCATGAAACACTCCCTCAGACCTGAGATGTCTGTGTGCAGACCGGAGCACTTTTGTCTGTTCGGCTCCTAACCTGCAGCTCAATGGGAAATGTGATCAGAAACCCGAGACTCCTTTCATCGCTGGTGTAGAGTGTCAGTGTGAGCTGACTAATGGGTCTGCAGCTGTGTGACTGTTCTCTGACGGGACTGAGTGTTCATAAAAATGGAGGTTATGTAAGCGTGAGACCGTTTCCAGTCTGGATGAGTCACGGTGCCCGGTTATCGCTGTGATCATCTTAGGTATGTTCTTGCTGTGTCGTATTTCTAATTCCATGCTGTAGCTCTGTTTTAAAACACAGAACAGTTTTTGTTACCTGTTTTCCCGCTACGTTTCGTTTGCGGCCGCAAACGAAACGTAGCGGGAAAACAGGTAACAAAAACTGTTCAGTGTTTTAAAAAAGAACTACAGCATGGTATCGCTGTGATTTTACTCCTTCATTATTCTGAGCTTGACTTGAGGATTTTTGATTAACCCAAAGAGGAAATTCTAATAATAAATCTAATCTAGGAGTTTGAGTTTTATTTTAACATTTAGGCGCAGAACGTTTACTCGCAGAACGACTAAATGGCGTTTTCCGACCTCGCCTTGTGACATATTCGAATCGACAGAAACATTTTAAATAAAGACATGAGACACATTTGATTATCTATCGTTGTAGGTATAAAAACATGCAGAGCTGCGAGGAGGAGAATTGCCAGATTAATCCGTCGCTTGTGTAATCTGTGCCCCTGGTAGGGTCTCCCATGACAAATTGGTCTTAGGTGAAGGGTGAGACAAAGAACGGTTCGAAGGATCTTTCATGGCGGTTAAAACGAAGAGTCGGAGTACCCGGCCCGGAGGGTTACCGGGGTCCCACCCTGGAGCCAGGCCTGGGGTTGGGGCCCGTGAGCGAGCGCCTGGTGGCCGGGCTTTCGCCCATGGGGCCCGGCCGGGCCCAGCCCGAACCGGATACATGGGCTCGTCCAACTGTGGACCCACCACCCGCAGGAGGAACATGAAGGGTCCGGTGCAATGCGAATCGGGTGGCAGACCAAGGCGGGAGCCTTGGCGGTCCAATCCCCGGACAAGAAAACTAGTTTTTGGGACATGGAACGTCACCTCGCTGGCGGGGAAGGAGCCGGAGCTTGTGGCAGAGGTTGAGCGGTACCGGCTAGATATAGTCGGACTCACCTCGACACATTGCATTGGCTCTGGAACCCGAGACCTGGAGAGGGGTTGGACACTCTACTTTGCTGGAGTTGCTCCGGGTGAGGGGCGGAGGGCTGGGGTTGGCTTTTTGTTAGCTCCGAGACTCTCTGCCTGTGTGTTGGGGTTTACCCCGGGGGACAAGAGGGTAGCTTCCTTGCGCCTTCGGGTCGGGGAACGGGTCCTGACTGTTGTTTGTGCTTATGGGCCAAATATCAGTTCAGAGTACCCACCCTTTTTGGAGTCCCTGGGACGAGTGCTAGATAGTGCTCCATCAGGGGACTCCATTGTCCTGCTGGGGGACTTCAATGCTCACGTGGGCAATGACAGCTTGACCTGGAGGGGTGTTAGATGATAGATTTTGTAGTCGTATCATCTGACCTGCGGCCATATGTTTTGGACACCCGAGTGAAGAGAGGGGCGGAGCTGTCAACTGATCACCACCTGGTGGTGAGTTGGATCAGATGGCAAGGGAACATGCCGCGTAAACCTGGCAGACCCAAACGCATAGTGAGGGTCTGCTGGGAACGCCTGGCAGAAGAACCTGTCAAGACGGTCTTCAATTCCCACCTCCGGCAGAGCTTTGACCACGTCCCGAGAGCAGTGGGGGACATTGAGTCCGAGTGGGCCTTGTTCCACTCTGCGATTGTCGAGGCGGCTGTTGCTAGCTGTGGTCGTAAGGTGGCCGGTGCCAGTCGTGGTGGCAACCCCCGTACCCGCTGGTGGACACCAGAGGTTCGGGGAGCCGTCAGGCTGAAAAAGGAGGCCTACAGGGCGTGGCTGGTCTGTGGGTCTCCGGAGGCAGCAGACAGGTACCGGATAGCCAAGCGGGGTGCAGCAGTGGCAGTTGCCGAGGCAAAATCTCGGGCGTGGGAGGAGTTTGGTGAGGCCATGGAGAAAGACTATCGATCGGCTCCAAAGAGGTTCTGGCAAACTGTCCGGCGCCTCAGGAGAGGAAGGCAGCAACTCGCTCACACTGTTTACAGTGGGCATGGGGAGCTGCTGACGTCAACTGAGGCTATAGTCGGATGGTGGAAGGAATACTTTGAGGAGCTCCTCAATCCCACCAATGCGCATTCCGAGGAGGAACCAGAGCTGGGAGGCCTGGGGATGGACTGTCCGATCTCGGGGGCAGAAGTTGCTGAGGTAGTCAAACAACTACACAGCGGCGGAGCCCCGGGGGCGGATGAGGTTCGTCCTGGGTATCTCAAGGCTATGGATGTTGTAGGGCTGTCATGGTTGACACGTCTCTACAACATTGCGTGGTCATCGGGGGCAGTTCCTAGGGAGTGGCAGACCGGGGTGGTGGTCCCCATCTTTAAGAAGGGTGACCTGAGGGTGTGTTCCAACTATAGGGGGATCACACTCCTCAGCCTCCCTGGAAAGGTCTACGCCAAGGTACTGGAGAGGAGGGTCCGATCGATAGTTGAATCTCAGATAGAGGAGGAGCAATGTGGTTTTCGTCCTGGCCGTGGAACTGTGGACCAGCTCTATACCCTTGCAAGGGTGATGGAGGGGGCATGGGAGTTTGCCCAACCAATCCACATGTGCTTTGTGGATTTGGAGAAGGCTTATGACCGTGTCCCCAGGGGCACCCTGTGGGGGACGCTCCAGGAGTATGGGGTGGGTGGCTTTCTGTTAAGGGCCATTCAGTCCCTTTACCAGAGGAGCGTGAGTTTGGTCCGCATAGCCGGTAGTAAGTCGGACCTGTTCCCAGTGAGGGTTGGACTCCGCCAGGGCTGCCCTTTGTCACCGGTTCTGTTCATCACTTTTATGGACAGAATTTCTAGACGCAGCCGTGGTGTGGAGTGTGTCGAGTTTGGTGGCAGGAGAATCTCGTCTCTGCTTTTTGCGGATGATGTGGTCCTCCTAGCTTCATCCAGCTCTGACCTTCAGCTCTTGCTGGGTAGGTTCGCGGCCGAATGTGAAGCGGCTGGGATGAGGATCAGCACCTCCAAATCTGAGACCATGGTTCTCGACCGGAAAAGGGTGGCTTGCCACCTCCGGGTCGGGGGAGAGGTCCTACCTCAAGTGGAGGAGTTTAAGTATCTCGGGGTCTTGTTCACGAGTGAGGGTAGGAGGGATCGGGAGATCGACAGGCGGATTGGTTCGGCGTCTGCAGTGATGCGGACGCTGAGCCGATCTGTCGTGGGGAAGAGGGAGCTGAGCCAGAAAGCCAGGCTCTCGATTTACCGGTCGATCTACGTCCCAATCCTCACCTATGGTCATGAGCTTTGGGTAATGACCGAAAGAACGAGATCGCGGATACAAGCGGCCGAAATGAGTTTCCTCCGTAGGGTGGCCGGGCTCAGCCTTAGAGATAGGGTGAGGAGCTCGGACATTCGGGAGGGACTCGGAGTAGAACCGCTGCTCCTCCGGATCGAAAGGAGCCAGTTGAGGTGGTTTGGGCATCTGGTCAGGATGCCTCCTGGACGCCTCCCCGGGGAGGTGTTTCGGGCATGTCCTGCCGGCAGAAGGCCCCCGGGTCGACCCAGGACACGTTGGAGAGGTTACATCTCCAATCTGGTCCGGGAACGCCTTGGGGTCCTGCCGGAGGAGCTGGTGGACAAGGCCGGGGAGAGGACGGCCTGGAGCTCCCTAATTGGGATGCTGCCCCCGCGACCCGGACCCGGATAAGCGGAGGAAGACGAAGACGAAGAAGACGAAGCTTGTGTAATCTCTGATGTTGAAAAGTCTTACAACCGTTTCTTCCCGGTGACTTTACCACCAGAAAATCCAAGAGTTCTTTTAAAGTCATGACGATTAGTAATGTCTGAGAATCTTGACGTTTTTCTTGCATTTTTAACAAGCAAAAGCTTCGTTTTTATTTAATTCCTCCAGTTTTTCTCACAAACGTATGACTGTCCAACATCAGGGAGAATGTAAGATGTTTCATTTAGCCGGTTTTCCCAGGAGTTCTTCTTTCCCTCTGCCCCCGAGCTTTATTTCATTCTGTTTTTGTCTGGCAGGAACAAAATATATTATATTATTAAAACTATTCTTAAAGAACAAGTCACCCCCAAATCAACTTTGTTTTGCTGATAAACTAAATAAACAAGTGTGTAATCGTGCTGTAGACACGTGTCGTCAATAATTTGGCACTTCAGTGCATCTTGGTTAAAATTCAAATATTCTGCCTAAAACTGTCAGTGTTGTGCCGTTGTCAGGTGAAAACTCTGCACTGTATTTGAATTTAAATCTGCCACCGCTATTGGCTAAGAGGTATGCTATGATGTAAACTGGTACATTATGATGTCACAATGCTGCCGTGAGCCTGTGTGTGTGTGTGTGTGCTTGTGTGTGTGTGTGTGTGTGTGTGTGTGTGTGTGTGTGTGTGTGTGTGTGTGTGTGTGTGTGTGTGTGTATTTGTTAGCGGCTCCGCCCTCTCGGTCTGCCAGGCAACAGCATTTGTTGCATTTTTCAAACAGGAAGTGGGAGTGGAGTTAGACTCTGGTAGGGGGTGACTTGCTCTTTAATGATTACTTCTAGAAACATCACATCTACTTGTCTATATTCATAACCAAATGGTTACGTAGATCATTTAAAATTGGAATTAAAGTAAAAAAATACATA